CTTAGCTCATCTGAATTTGTTACTAAATTATAGATGCAACATACAAATATTTGGTATTTAGTCTATACTGCTGCTCAACAAGGAATATTCATTTCAAATGAATAATGTGGAAACAAAATCACTGACATTTTTAATAATTTCAATTGACATATTTTAAATTACACAACTTAGTAATGTAAAATTTTTTATGCGCTATGCATTAATTAGACTTAAAAAAATTTCAAATTTATAATATTTTATTTAAAAAATTGCCAGAAATTAATTTTTATTCCCACAATACTCTATTAATTAATTTCATGAATAAATATAACGTAGTCATTTATTTACAAAAAAAATTATGATTTAATGTTAATAAGAATGCACACACATTTGTAAAAGTAGAAATATTTTCTTAGAATACTATGTTTGGAATTTAAACTTAGGGAAACTTAGTTTGACTCGAACCGTCTTTCACCCCACCCCGAGAAGGGTTTATTCCATTAACAAGACAATAAGGAAGATAAACAAATTTGTGAGGGGTCCGATTAAGAGTTAAGAGATAAATTATTTTGTGAAGGGTCTGTTATGATTGTTTGTCTCCATTGAAATTAAATCAAGTAGCTCATTAGATATGAATAAATAAAAAAATTAAACTTCTTTTTATACTTGCATAAGTGAGGGAATAACACCTAATTGTCCAGTTAAAGTTATTTTTGTTGAACGATTTTAGTTTTGTATTTCAGGTCATGTGAAAGTTAGCTGCCTTTGTTTTAGATATTAGCTTCTTGCCCAAAAATCATTTTAACAGTTAACTTATCCTCATAATAGAAAATGGAATCACTATTTGGGTAATTCTTCTTATCTAGTTCCTCTAAAAGTTTGTTGTCAAGTGAGTTTGACAGTCGGAGGGGAAAGAATTGTCCAACAAATTTCGGACCATAATCTTAAAACTATTATACACTATATTCAGGGATGTGATTGACAAAAACACAAAAAAGAGGAAGTTTATAACTGTAGCATTAAACGTGCAAAAGAAAAAATGATATGAATTCAATGGCCAATCTGATAATGATTACATTATTATCTATTCAATTAAATATAAATAAATGGTAATTATGTTCTTAAATAAAATCTTGATTCAAATAATTTTTTTTTTCATAATTTAGATAACTGAGTAATTATGCATAAGCACAATTTTATGTATCACATCATTTTAAAAAAACATTTCTTTAATGGTCAAAAGACCTTTATGGACTTTCTCATCAGTTCTTTGTTTTTTTGATGGTCTTTTATTAACATGACTGATCTGTAGACTGCGTTTTGCAGACTTTTGATCATCCGTGTTGATAGGACAAGAAAGTTCATTTCTCACACAATTATTAGAGGCCTTAGATTAAGAATCGCGATGTTGGATTTCAAAATCGCGTGAATAGGAATCGCGATGCTTGATTTTAAAATCGCGTGAAAAAGTATTGCGATGTCGGATTTTAAAATCGCGTGAATAAGGCGATATCGGATTTTAAAATCGCGATGTTGGATTTTAAGATTGCGTGAATAAGAATCGCGATGTTCGGTTTTAAAATAGGGTGAATAAGAATTGCGATGTTGGATTTTAAAATCGCTTGAATAAGAATCGTGATGTTGGATTTTAAAATCGCGTGAATGAGAACCACAATGTTTGATTTTAAAATCGCGTGAATAAGAATCGCGATGTTCAATTTTAAAATAGCGTGAATAAAAATCACGATATTGAATTTTAAAATCACGTGAATAAGAATCACGATATTGGATTTTAAAAGCACGAAAATACAAATTGCGGTATTGAATTTTTAAATCGCGTAAATAAGAATCACGATGCATAATTTTCAGAGTCCGTGAATACTTATCGCAACGAGTAATGAATGTTTAAACCGCGTATAAATTCGAATATCGATTTTTGATATTACAACAGCGTGATAATGATAACGAATCGCAATATTGAAATTTAAAAATATATATGAATACGAATCGCGACATAGGATTTTAAACTAGCGGGAATATGAATCGCGATATTGGGTTTTAAAAACGATTAAATACAAATCGCGATATTAAATTTTTAAATTGCGTGAATGGGAATTGATTTTCAACAAAAGNGAATATGAATCGCGATATTGGGTTTTAAAAAACGTTTAAATACAAATCGCGATATTGGGTTGTCAAATTGCGTGAATGGGAATTGCGAGTAATGATTTTTAAATCGTGTAAAAACGAATCTCATTAAGTAATTTTTAAATCAGTTAAATACGAAAATCGATGGTTTACATAAAAATCATCTAAATAAGAATCGCAATTTTAGCAGATTCTGGCCCAGTTCCTAATATTTAAAATTCTGTAAATCAGCCAATCAAAATAAATCAAATATCAGCGGCCAAAACGAAACTGCTTAGGACTTTTTTTTCTTTTTTCCAATCTATAGCGGAAGTCGCGGTTGTCAAGGCAACGGCGTACATGCCGAAATTCTACCCATTTCCTCAGGAAGCTACTGCAGGGGGGGGAGTTCGTCGTAAGTCCGACTATATCGTTCGTTCGACTCCCCAAAAGTTTTTGGAGCATGGTCGGAAATTTTAAAAAGTCTTTCATCCCTGAAAAGTTAAGAGAGTAGTGGAGTAGGAGACGGCATTGTTTTACCAAGGTCAACCACTTTTACCCCAGCCAGCAGATTGACATGTGAAGAAAGGTTTATTGGGGGCTTCAATACTTTCGCTCCACGGAAGAAAAAAATTTTCAACAAAATATCATTTACCGCATAAAAAAATTTTCCGCGCGGAAATTTATGAAGAAAGAGCGGAAGATATGGAAAAATCTAAAAAAAAAGCGGAAATCAGCGGAAGAATCACATCCCTGTATATTAATTTAAAATTAAAAAAGATGACTTTACTTCATGTATTATTTAATTCATGTTTAATTTCATGTTCATTTAATATTTCTATAATTTCGTTTAATCAATAAGCCCGAAATGGTCAGAAATCTAACTAGATGCTATTTACTCAAACAATCAGGTATATACTTACTTTTACTACTAACTTTTTTTACTTACATACTAACTTTTTTAATATCATTATAGTGTAAGAAAATAAAACTGGACTGGAAGTATGGGACCCATAGTAGCACTTGAATATAATAAAAAGTAAACTATTTTTGTTTCATGGAAATGTAAAAAAAAAAACTGTTTCCGATGTTATTTACCAATGTCATTAACAAATATTTTCTAGACATCTTTATCTATATATTGTTTGTTTCATTTTATTGTAATAAATTATAGAATTATTTTTGTATATAACAGCATTTTCAATGAGAATTCATAACAGGAAGCAAATCACGTGTAGTTTGTGATTTATAATTCATACATACAAAGATCAAGTATCACTTTGCATTAAAATCTTTTTCTTTCTTCCATCTTTTGAGGAACACCCCGGGTTTTAACATTTATCAAGAGCCCAAAGCTTTTAATATCAGACACTACATTTGTACAAGACTCTGATTTTTGTTTTGTAAAAATATTTTATTCATAATGATATGAATGAAAGAAATCACTATAAAATAAGTAATTGTAAGACACATGTTTATACACTTTTCAATTTAATATGGGGTACTTGGTGCAAATATTTCAAACGGAATCTTTGCACCAAGTTCAATTTAATATAGTTTGTTTAATTTAAAATGGTGTCCGGCAAAGAGTGCCCACTAAAGTAGATAAGGCCCACAGAACAATAACTGTTTCAGATTTCACCCTATCTCATAAAAGAAACGTTTGTTATCTTATCTCATAAAAAAGTTCATCGCCAAAAATAAAAAATGATTTGCTAAATACCATTTCATTAGATTGATAAACAAACCAGCTATAAAACTATTAAATTTTACATTGTAAAAAATCTGATAAAAACTAAACTACTGATAAAAACTACTACTGATAAACTATGGATAAAAACTAAAATTGATTTAAATTTTATTAGATTGATTATCAAATCAGCTATAAAACTGACAAATTTTACGTGATATGAAGAAAAATAATTTCATTCGAAAATAGCTCATATTTGAATAGATTTAGTTATTTTAAGTTTGAAAGTACTGTCAAAAATTTTATTTAGTACCTTTATTAACCAAAATTCTAAAACAAAATTTTAAGTTTTTCTAACACTTTTTAAATAAGCAAAAAATTTTTTTAGCTTAAAACTTTTGCTTTTGAGCAAAAGTTTTTAGCAAAAGTTTAGTTAAAAGTTTTTTGTTTTTGATCACCAATAACTTCCAAACGGAAGGGAAACTTCCAAAACTTAATTTTTGAATTGATTAATTGATTTTTAAAAATAAATAGGATATTATTTTTTATCATCATCATAAGCCATGTATCATTAACCCATTTACAGATAATTATTTTCAAAAAAATAAATAAAAACATCTACAAAAAATTTCTGCAAATATCACTCATTGTTACAATCTCTAATCTTTATATTTTAGTATGAACATAACAATATTGAAAACACTGTAAATGATGGATATAGAAATTAATAACTTAGTCTTACAATGCAGATGCATTAACGGGATTAGAATATAGTATGCAACAGTTACAATATTAATTTCTAAACTTCTCTGAACTAAAAATGTAAAGCAGCTAAAGAAAGAAAAACAACTAACTACGTTCGAATCACTGGATCTAATAGGGGGATTTTCATTGTTATTATACATAATAACAAGGGTTTAAAAAACACATTTTCATAGATAAATTAAAAGCAACAATTAATAAAACAATGAATTTGAGCATAAAAACATCTTTCCTAAAGTATGATTCTTAGATTTATAGTTACTCAATTTTCTTTTTCTCTACCTTGAGCATTTTTTGTCAGAATGGTAAGAGAATTACTCTTCCTTAGTCAGATATTAAAACTTTAGATATATCTTTAATGCAAAAATATTCAAGATAAAACTTCGAAACAAAATTTGGAAAGTAAAAACATTATCAGGGGAGTAAAATTATTTAGACTTACTTTAAAGTAAAAGATATGCAAGGGAGAAAAAATGCCCAGACTAAATCTCCAAACACTGTACTTCCGATAACAGACTGGAAAAATAGGAGAAATTAATATTAAAATCAAAATAGCAAATAATCTAAATAATAATCATTGGTAGATGATGATGTAACCCTTTCACTGTTAATCATGTTACAAAAGTTGTCACTCACTCACATGCACACAAATATATATATATATAGGATCAAGAATAAGCCTATCTTTTAGATTGCATGAAAATGCATACATGGTAGCAAAACAAATTTCAATGGAATATGTATATTTTAAGACTTACAGGAGAAATTTTCATGAAAGATGATATTGAGACCCAAATAAGAACCTGAAAAAATTTGTTAATCATTCATAATAAATGCTTCAATCAATAAATATGCAAAAATATAAATGCAAATGAAAGCTCATTGAAGCTACTAAAAAGCACAAACACATTTTAGTCATATACTTTAAAGTGAATTCAATAAGTTTACATTTGACACTTATGTAAGAAAATGATATAGGGTTATAGATTATTAAAATAGATAGGGTGTAGATTATTAAAATTCACAATTACATTTATTGACTATCATGATTAGTGAATTAGTAACAGCTAAGTAATTTTCACTTTAAAGTTACTCTAAAACAAGAATCCCAGAGAACAAAAGCTTTAAAAGACTTGCTCTACACCTGTGCTTAATATGTTATTGAAAAAACAAATTTTGTTGGTTGAAAATACTTCCTTATTCACATTAAATTCATTTAATAGAAATGTCTTCTGGAAAACAAAAAAAAATTGTCCGCAAGGTATAAATTTGGAGAATAAAATAAACAGGAAAAAGTATAGTATTGCTTAACAGTGTTTATAAATGCAATCAAGGAGTGGACATTAAACTTGGATACGACAAGAATTATAAGTTATTTTTGGCAGATGTTTTTTTCTTAATTTCTCAACTTCCTCCATTGAAAATGCCTAATATTGTTTCGTTATTAAAGTTCCTGTTCCCCAATAATGTCAAAAATAACCCAAAACATTGTAAATTTACTTTTCTTACAACTTTTTTTTTTTTACAGCTCTAACCCTTCTCTTTACTACCTGCTTTGGAAGTTCTTTTGTTTCTGGTTGATATAAATCACATGCCTTAATAACAATCAACAATTTTTGAAAGAAGAAAAATTTGTTTAGGAACAACAGACAATTAAAATTTGAGAAAAGCTTGTCAGAAATAATAACATAATTGATGTAGATATGCAAATCATATTCTAAAAAATAAATCCTACTTCAAATTATTTTACAAAATAAAATGCTTTAATTTTTAGCATTTCATCAAAACATTTTTTGTACTTAAGAACAATAAAAGATGCAATAAATAAAATGAACTAAAACATTTAAATTGTGTTGTATCATTTCTTTAGAAATGAAAACATACACCATTTAGCTTTCCTTCCACAATTAATATATGATCTAATCAAAATAAAACACAGTTTTTCAATTGCAATTGACTGTTACACATTCAATAGTTTAAAAATATTTTCCCATTCAGCTTCCTGATATTTTGCAACAATAACTTTCAATATTTTTACAATACACAGAGCTGCCATAATACTTGCAAATTTGAATAAAAAAAGGAACTGATAAGGGACATAAAAAATTAGGACCAGGAAAAAAAACAAAAAGAATAATGCAAATCAGATAATATACCAAACAAATTTAATCATGAAAGAAAACACCAAATATTTTCCTTATCTAGTTTAATTCAAAAGCATCTTTACAAAATTTCAAAGTATTTAGGTTTCACGTTTTTAATTTACAAACTATGCAATTGAATTATTTTTTTATTTTCAACAATTGAAAAGTTAAGAGTTTACTTTCTTATTAACTAATACAGTTGAATCTGCCTAAGAAATTTTTCAAGGGACTGGAACGAAATTACTTATTAAACGGGAAAACTTCATAAACGGTTGAAGGTTAAAAATAAACAAATTTTTTTTTATCAATTACTAAAATCAATAATTTTTCTGTACCATTCATACAAGTCCAAACTAAAAATATCAAATATTTTTACTGTTTATTCCTCCATTGCAACGTTTACCTTTAAATGCATAAGTTTTATTGGGTAAAAAATTTAAAAACAGAACACAATCCCCCATACTAAAAATGTCCTTCGGTTGATAACCTGAAGTTAGTTCAGGTAATTTAGCTTTCCATTTTTCAGCTTCTTGCTAATCAACTCTGTTACATTTTCCTTTAATTGTTTTATATACTAATCCGGCTCGCTTTTTCATATGATCAATTCATCCATTAGAAGGTGTTAAATGAACGTTCAGTTTCTCAGCAATCTCTAAGGCTGTTCCTCCAAATAGAGTTTCGCTGACAGGAACGTTCGAGTATCTTGCTTGTTTAAATCATAAGTTTTTCTTCAACATCCTCGTATTTTCTTCTTTTCACTATTTTTATTTTCTGGGTTTCACCGGAACAAGAACAGTTTAAGATGTCTTTCTTAGCAAATAATGCAAATTAAAGTAGTAATTGTGAGATTTAAATTTTTCACTATTCGAACCCTTTCAAATTGAGAATAGCTGTCTGCAGTTTTTAAAATTTTTACTTTGTCCTCAATAGATAGTGTTTTACGTTTAATGTCTTTAGAGGACATTTTCAACTAAAATCATTTTTTTTTCTATGATATTTAAGATAAAAATCAAAATGAACCTTCACACTAAGAAAATTTCCAACGAAATGCTGCTAAATGTTTTGATGTATCTTTCGTATCAGTCACTGAAGGGGTGGGGACAGCAGAGCAGTGCATGCATCATCAGGCTTTCTAATTTTTTATTTACAGTGGACACAATGTCCAAGCGATTCCCCACATTCTTATTGGTTTCATTGTTCATCTAAAGGTTCACATTCCTTTGCTCACACCTGTTTCTGATGAATCACCTTTTGTGTAATGGAGGAGAAAAGGAAGCTCTGTGGCCTTTGTTAATTTGGCATAGTCCAGGTATCTGTTTTCGTCTTAGAAAGGTTAAACTAGATAAGACATTTTTGAAATATAAAGTTAAAAAAATAAGGAAAATTGGAACCATGTGAAAACTTATTAAACGGGAAAAAATCTTCTCATGAAGGTAAATTTAACGTTATGATATTTGATTTTTAAAAAAATCAACTTCTAAAACTTTTTTAAATGGAACTTCTTAAATGGGTTCCACTGTATACAAGCTATTATCACATTATGTGTAACTCTAGCCAGTCAAATTTTCCAACAAAAAAAGACAAAAATCGAAACGAGCGCTTTTAAAAAATGAAAATCGAAAACAAGCATCTGTAAGCACTTTTTAAAAACCTAACACACCCTGATTACCATTTTGTAAAACAGTTAAACTTTTTGTTGCTCTCAGTGGCTAATAATACCACATTTAAGTTTAGTTTACCACTTTTTTCCTAAATCAGTAATTCCTTTTCAGTTTAATGGCATCTTTATTTTTTCTTTATTTATCCATTTCTGATAACAGTGATAGGTCTGAAATTCAACAGCCATTATTTATCATTTTATTTATTATGGAAACGAGAGCAGCTTAGCAATGTTTTAAATGATTAACCATGTTATTACTAGTATTCAGCACCTGTTCTTTCACTGAGGTACTCTTTTTTCGAAATAATGTGACTTTAAATGCTCCACGTCTGTATTACCATGATAAAGAGTAAGTTTGCTCTTAAAAAAACAAAGAGAAGTTAGAGTAATTCAGTAAATCATTTCTTCATTTCAATCAATAGGATACTTATCATTTTATTATGCATTTAAATTTTATTTAGCTTGGAAATCTTCCATTCATCTAAGAAACATTCATTTCAATGCCTATATGACAGCATCCTGCAAGTTAAGCTGTAATTTTTAAAACAAAATTTGGAAGAAAAAAACTATCTACAATCAAAATTATATCCCACTGAATAATATTAGAAATATTTTTTTTCTTTCAGTTATGAGTTTCCTCCAAATAACAAAGACTGAAAATATACAATATGGAAACACTTATTCAGTATATTACACTCATTTAACATACTAAATTCATAAATGTAAATTGAGAAAAAACTTGCACTACTGCACATGAAAATTTAAGAAAAAAAAATAATCCTCTATTATTTATGTCAAATTTTAATTATTTAATAAATTAATAATTTGAAAATAATAAAACCAGAGTATTTATTAAAAATTATACTTGGTTAGTGATCTTAGTTGGATTTATTAAAACAATAAAATAATACTTTTGCAATGAAATAATGCAAGTTTTTGCATGAAAATGTAAGTTACACAATTATACACAGGAGTAAATTAGTGGACTATTCCTCAACTCATCATTTGAAAATTTTATTACTACTGAATCATCAAGAGTCTAATTAATTAAAATGATGAGTTGCTGTCCCTTAAGATTCATTTTGAATTTGCTAAAAATAGGCATTTTTGTTGCTTTTTAACCTTTTTAAGTTTCAGCAAATACATAATTTTTTTGATCAATTTTGATATCACTAATACATTTATACTTACAGGTTGAACAGAACTGCTCAAAGTACAAATTCCAGGGTGAAATTTAAGAAGGCCAATTTTACCATTAGTTGTAGTTTCTTCAGGAAAACATAAAACACGAATTGAGGAACCTAATAGAGTAAAAATGTGTTTTTTAGTGATGACTTGAAAGCAAAATATACATAAAAACTTAAAGCAAACATAAATATTAAAAAACTAACTATCAATGTAGGTTCTCAAAGCTGATACAGCATCATCACTCAAATTTCTTGGATATCGTACATCGTCTTTCCAGAACCATAAAGAGTCTATATTTCTGATATGAAAATCTTTTGAAACCTAATTACAAAACAAAAAAGTATAGATAAGAACTTAACACTATCAATGCTGTTACACATTCGAAATTTAAAACTATTTTTCTTGTTGAAAAAAGAATGTTAACTTTATAGGTATCATAATTCTGGAGCATTAAAAAGGTAATAACATGTTTCTGTTTTCTCCATACCATTAATTTTTCCATACCACCTCCAATACCAACCATACTGTTTTCAAAAACTATTTCCAATATGCTAAATACAAATAATTTTACATTTTCTCTAATCTTACTTTTTCATATAAAAGGGATACTTCATACTTCACTTTAAATTGCATTAGAAAAAGTTAAGGTAATTTATCAAAGAGTATTACAAAAAATATAAACAATAACTTTAATTTCAAAAGAGCTATAAATTTAAAAATTCCAAAAAATCATCTCCAATGAATTTTACTTCATCCTTATCTGCCGAGTCTTGCAAAAAGTAATTTTTACCCCCAAACCAAAGAATTTGAAATTCCACACTTTTTAAAGAATTTTCAATAACATTTGATTTCACATCTTGGATAGGAACATCTATAGAAGCAGCACAAATAATTATTGTTTTTGCAAGAGGTTTTTCTCCTATCAACTATTTATTCGAAGGAAAATGACTTATCCTCGAAGGGTTTATTCAATTACACATCTATTGGCTGAAAGACTTTCATATTTGTTTTTTTTTTCAACGGTAGACTAATATGCCTGGCATACTAGAAATTTGCTATCTCAGATTCAGAAATAGTTAACTTACACGCTTGGATATATAGTAATTATATTAATATTAAATAAGTAATGAACCATTGGAACACAACATGCACAGAAGAATAATGTCATGAGAAGGAATTACCTTAGAAAATTAGTTTATAACTGAAAAAAAAAAACATACTGTGTTACAGGGCACCATCACATTGACAGCTAACCGGTCCAGAATGCTAACATGATTTGAAACTAAGAGCTTTGAAGAGTCATCAAGGTACTTATCATCCACTTCAATCACAAATCCTAATATTTTGCACAAGCCTTTGAGAAGGAAGCTGAAAAGTAATCAAAGCATGGGTGAATGTGACACAAAGTGAAAATTCTTTAAACTTTTGTATGCAAAAACATAATTTCAAGATATCAAGTTATGAATCAAAATTAATACGCAAATATTTCAACAAGCTCAATATAATTTTTTGAACTAATATTTATATTTTAATTATCGACCAACGATAAAGATATCACATATTTATACTAATTTCAAAAAAGATTTGTGGTACCCTGCAAATCAATTGGCTTGATTCTATAAATTTGCAATCACATGTCCTGCTCCTAGTTTTAAAACCTAGAAGTATGGTGTAAAAAACTCAGAATACAATCACCTCTGTCAAAGTTAATACTTTACAATCAAGATTTCTTTATTCATTTATTCTTTATTAAAAAGAAACTAAAATATATTTTCAAGGAATCAATTTTTGAAAAGAATAAAGTTAAGCTGTAATGTACATTCCACCTACAACACTAAAAGTATTCTCACTTATCCTAAAAAAAAAAAATTGAATTTTTATAATATAAAATGCATAGATTTTCTTTTTCTGCCATGACAGATATTGTGGGATTAAAAGAAAATCTAAAACAGGAATAAGACTTTATTAAACTTGCATTTAAGCAAGCAATGTTCAAATCTTCATATGGAGCAACAGAAGGGTTTGGTAAAAGTTGCACATTTCATTGTTAGAGTGAACAGAAATGGGCGACGTTTATTTAAATCCGTGCAACTCTTATTTCTATTCAATGTTGTAAAAAGCAAAATACCAAACTTCCAGATTACAAAGAATGATGACAGTCGATAATTGTCATTTTATTCACTCTTTTTGGAAATTATATCTTGTAATTTATGCTAAACATTATACTTCATGCTTAAGTTCAGAGTGATTAAAGGAAAAAAATGCTTTATCAAGCTAAAATAAAAACAGTCAACAGAATTCATAGTGAAGAAATAACGAACTTGTAAATAAAATTGTTCAAACGTAATTAGTTTTTTTTTTTGTCAATTGTAAGGTAATTCATATAAATTACTAAAAAGTGGTTGCTGCCCTACCTTTTTCTGTGGATAATCAGGAATTTATTGAACATATTTATTTCAATAATAATAAAATTTAACTATTTTTAATAATTTTATTAAGCTTAAAACATTTTTGAAAATTAAAAACTGGGTATTACAAATATAACACAAAATGTTACTTTACATAACCAGGTTTTAAAAATTAGAGTAAGTTTTTGGAAAATTATATTAAGTTTCAAAGACATAAGCACTTTGAAAAATTATTAGAACAAAAATTATTAGAGCAGCTCAAATTTTATTAAATGAATTACATGCTTTTAAAGTCTGAAAATACATCATTGATAAAAGGTGAAATTGCCGATAGTGAATCATACAAAGTAAAAGATTTTAAAAAGATTCCATTATCATGAAAACAATACATTGAAATTTTAAAAGAATAAATAAAAAAGTACAAAATTTTTACCTTCTAGTATGTGATGTTTTTGGCAACAAAGAGAGAACTATTACTCCTAAAAAACAAACCGCTATTCTAAAAGCCAACAACACCAAACCAAATGGAAAGTACAACAAAGCTTTGTACACTTGTGGTCTTTTGAGTATCCTATATAAGTACACAATTTTAATTTAATAACAAGAATGGAAAATTCTTTAAGCATTCTTTATAAGTTATGGCAAGGCTGCCAACTATGTACTAAGCTTTTTGCAAAATATTTTATAGAGTGGTAAACAGTTACAAACTAAAACTTTCAGAATTTTTGGTAATTTTGTCAAAATTTTAAAAGTCTCACCATAAGAGAACTGAAGAGCTCTTTACATGAATTTTTGTAATCCTTCACATGTAGTGGCATGGAAGATAATTTTAAATCAAATTCATTAAACAAAGAATTATACATTAAAATATTAACTTTCCAACCACTACAAGAAAACAACAACAAAAAGAGCTGAAATTGGTTATATTGCATATTGTACCAGAATTGGAAAAAGTTTTCTTTTTTTTTATTTTGCTTAAACCAGTTTGTTTTTGGTTCATTTAAAACAAAAAATTTTAATATTTGACACCTTGAATCTAGACTAACCTAACCAATAAAAAGTATTTTATGAAGAATTTTAACTGATGAATAATATTTTTAATGAATAATTAAAAATATCCACTTTTGTTCCAGAAATATACTAACACAATAATAAGCACAAAAAAATTTAACATTCAAATAAAAAAATTTTATATAAATGTTATATTTATAAAGTGTCTGAAAGAGAGGGTTCCCTTTTGCCTGTCAGGGTGGATGAAATAGATGTATGTCAGTATGACACCTGCGAAAACATTGCTAAAAATATCAATTATCATATAAGCCATACTTTTATTTTTTTATTTACCACCTTTAAATAGTGTATGAAATTTTACTCGATTTAATAAATTATATTCATACAAAGTACTACATATAGTGGTTACAATTAGCTTTTAAAATATTATATATGTATTGAAAGTTTAGCATCAATTTGCTGGCACTTTTTATTTTTGCATTTAGGAATTACGGATCCTCTGGAACACATCTTTTCAAGTCTACTCTAGTTTTTGAAGTGATATTTGATGCATTATAGTAAACAGAATCACTTATAATCCTAGTTGCCGATATCTAAATATTACTGATGGAAACTAGATAAACCAGGATGTGAAATTTCACTTCCATTGGTACTAGCAAGATTAAAATTATTATTCAGAGCTATTTTTACATAAATATGAACAATCTTTAAAATTTTAACAGATGTTGCGCAAAGAATTTTTCTGTAAAAAAACTTTATAAGAATCAAGGAACTGAAAACACATTTAATGCAAAGTAACAATAGTACTAACTAAAAATATGGTTAAAATAAGTTCCCATGAGGTCCGAATAATATCAGCCACATCCACATGCGTATTAATAAAATGAACTATTTTTTTCTTATTATTTAAATTCATATCATTAAAATATCAAATATATCTTTCAATCAAACTGTGTTACACTACAGTCAAACTTTATTTTTTCTATAGCCTCAAATAATATAACACCAATGGTGAACTTGCAATTGGATAATTGCCACTTTAGCATGAAGCAAATTTCATTAAATTTCAACAATTTATCAATGAAAAATTCTATGGCAGAATAATCACCAAGTTCCAGGCAACAGTAGTGGAGATTTCTGTATCCTGATCTGTGTCAGAATAATCGCCAAAGCTTGGAAACTTCTGGACCTTGGCCCGAGAGAAACTAAAAAAACATCACAGACAGGGACCAACTCGAAAGGTATAACTGGGGAGATTTCCGTATCGAGATCTGTGGCAGAATTATCGCCAAGTCTTCGAAACTTCCGGGCAGTGGCCCGCGAGAAACAAAAAAAAAATCACAGAAAGGGACCAACTCAAATGTATAACTCGTAGCCACCCCCGGGCAAACATCTACATTTTTCATTTGTATCGTTAACAGATCATAATATATCCTTTTTTCCAACCTTCTTTAAGGTTTAAACATAACACCTGTTGAAAAGAAGAGAAACGAATCGGTTTGCAACATTAGTATAGAATTAATATAATCTCTAACGTAGCATAAGAAGTATTTTTGTAGGAGGGGATAGCTCGAAAACCACTGTAGAGGTCTCAAAGTAACCTTCTATAAAAGAACCATAAAATTTTTAAAAAATAAATTTTGCCTGGTAAAACAATTTTTCGTGACACTTGGCACCATTTCCTAGAGAAACTGGGTATTTTTATGACTATGTCGCTTGCAACTACCAACTTGTTAAGCCAAAAGCTAATACAAAATAAAAAGCTTCAAGCGATACTCATGGTAAATTATTAAGTTTGAAGCAAATGAAAATAAACATAATGTGACAACTAACTAAAGTAGGAACGTAATTTAAATTAAAACCTTTAAGGTCAGCAGCTACAACAAGAAGGAAATGTGTTCAAGGTATACGTGTTAAAGGAGATATAATTAGCATTACATGTTACATTTATTGGAATGTTAGGAATAGCAAACATTGAAAAAAGATTTCTAAAAGGGATTTTAACTGGAGTTGATACATTTGATAAGTTAAAAATTGATTTAATATAAGGGTAAACAGGCAAGTATTAACATGAATGACATCGCTCGTTTTTAAATGATGTAATTTGCCCTGAAATAAAAATTTTAATCCTGTTTATTAAAAAGCCACTGACCTGCTAGTAAAAAACAAATCTTCTAAACTAATTACGTTTTCCTTCACTTTCTCACTTTCTCTACTAATTCCAATACTTGACATGTTCATGTTGATATTTACACCAAAAACCTCTGACATAGACTACTGAAGATACCTAAACAAAATATGTTTTGAAATACATATTATTGTACCTACATAAAATTTGGAATCTGTTATCGTTCGTAAAACTTTAAAATTAGATTTTACTTTTAGACCTCAACGAATTCAACTCAAGGCTAAAAGTTGGTGCAATTATTGGAGCATTTATTTAATATACACTTTTAATATAAACTAAATGTTGGCATTTTCAGTTGCAGTTAAAAATGTATTTTATTGATCACCATCACTGTCTAAACATTCACGCGTGCTTCACGGATGCAGTAAGAATGGCCCTGAAAATAAAATAGCCCATTGTGCAGTTTCGCTCGTAAATAATAAGTCCCAAGTACCAGAGGCTGAATTACATCATTAGACAATTATTGTTACATGAATTGCGTAATATTGTAGTAGTTAAAGGCAACTTGATTTTGTATTCAGCAATTCCTTAGCCTTTCAATAGGGTATACAATGATTTACATCACACCTGCTTTTCATAGCATTGCATAATGAGAGAAGAAAAAGGATGAAAAAATGTGTTGGAAGATAATGCGTGGTGTAACACAATCGACTGATCAAAATCATATGATACGGTTCCCAGCGGATCACCGAAGTAAAGCATCACTAACAGCGATCAATGAGCGGGTGATTGATCACTTTGATCAGGGGCAGATCTACTTAAGGGATTTTAGGGCTGCAGCCAGGGCCCGCGGATACAAACGGCCCCAGTCTCCACTGAAAACAATAGGTGATTTTTTGAATTTAAAAAAATATCTAATATTAAAAAAAAAACTATTATAAGGTTGGCAACCCTGAGATCAATCAACCCATGCATGTGCGCGTCTATCTAGCGGAACGAGGAATTCTCCGTCGCTTGTTTTTGGTCAGTGTATTTTTTCGCGTCCATTCGCGCCGCTTAACGCCCGATCTAATTTTTTTTTTTAATTTTTTACCCGCACTTCTGTTCTCGTCGTCAAAGTGACAAACTTGTTTAGTTTACTAATAAATGATAACTTAAAAGTTATAAAGACCGGACCTTTCTCTTATTTTACTTATAATTGAAAGTACATAATCAGTATCAGAAAAGAGTTCCTGCTATTAGTTGATAAGTAAAAAGAATTATAAATCATGTTTGTTTTTTTTAATGTATTTTTTCAATACTAAATGAACTTTTTAATCGATTTTTAATGATAATTTGTGAATTACTGCACTCATTACAAAGTATTAAAATGTGACGCGAAGAGCAATATTACATGAATTATCTCGTTCCCTGTTTATTGCCAGAAAATTATCAAGTTCATTGATTATTTTCAGAAAAATATCAAAATCTTATTTTACAATATGTCTGGTAGAAAATATAAAAGTGGAGCTGAGAAACGGAAATTACAGCTAGGTCGAGAAAAAGAAAGAAAGAAATGTACAGAAATGGAAACTTTTTCCAAATTAGAACATAAAAACGAGAATGAAATAGCTGCAAATTTATTAACAAATGAAAAGGAAGAGATTTTATCCAAAGAGAATCTATTTAAAGGGAGTAGAAAATCGCAACACCAGGAAAAAAATACAAATGGTGAAAATGTGCAAAATCTTGATTACCAGCAACCCTCTGATCCCACTGAAAACTATATTGTTCTCTATATTGTAACTATATTATAACTATATTGGTGATCAGCAAGAGGACGGTAATACCGAGACGGAAAGAAATTTAGAGAATATTAGTTTGAGTTTGAGAAATATGTTGGCGTGGGCTTGTGGCCAGAATTGCTAAATAATGATTTCATTAATGACATCCTCTCACATGAAATAACTGACTTTCAAAATAAAGATCCGAAAAATATATATTCAGCTTCAATAAAGAAATACAAAGAACAAAACAGAACATTTTCAAATAGTTATTTCATTAAGAAAATGAAAAATGGTCAATCACTGGAAAGATCTTGGCTATGTTATTCAAACAGGGATGGTACTGTTTTTTGCTTGTGAGGGGAATTAATTATCGACCATGCCAACCTTCATCTATCAAAANAAATGAAATTTTCACCTTAGCAGCTCAAACATATTGAATTTCCTGCTTAATAATAAACACCCAAACTAATAATATTTGATAACGTTGAAATTAAATAAAATATGTAAGTAATTGAATAATAAAACGGCACTTCACATTTGTCAAGTCCTGTATTAGGTAATAAAATATGTAAAAAATAATAAAACTTACGTATAGTAATTTTAACTTCAGTTTACACTACACGGATTTTTATTCGCCGTTTCACCGATTTTCTCGAAGCCCGAAGCACTTCTGCAGTCTTTATAAATAAATATCCAATACTTAGCTCTAAATTCGTAAGTTGTGAAACTCTCTGTTCATTCACAGCCGTAAAACTCGCAAACAAATTGCACGAAGTGAAAATTCAACGATTACATTAAAAATGTTTCAAAAATGTTGTCTATGACACAATACAACGTATGTATTTAGTGGATCGGGATCAACTCTAGTGGATCAACTCTATGGGATCAACTCTTTAGTGGATCTTTAGTGGATCAACTCTATGGGGAATTCCCCAGTCATGCGATGAAAGAACCAGTACTGCCAACCTTATTTTTACATACTCTTTGGTAGCTTGGCCATAGAATATACAGACCTATGGTAGGTACCAGAACAGTAAGTGTGCATTCACAACGTAGAATTTTGCGCGTTTTTCAAGCGTGTTGTGTTAAAAAAGCTGCTTGCTGTACAGTCATCTGATTAGTCGGCGTTAAAATTACCGCGATAAAATTGCTTGCGATTTTATTACTGCGTTATATATGAACTAACTACCATAATGTTAATATCTAATTTGGAATGCGTTCAGAAATGTACTAAAATAGCGTCGATGTAATGTACAGAGCAAGACAATCGTCATTGAAATTTCGAATTAAATTTTTACTGTTTAAGAAACATTGTCAATTTTTTTCTCTGTAGCACAGGGCCCCTGAACGTGGCGAGGCCCCTAGGCAGTTGCCTACAGTGCCTAATGGATAAAACGGCCCTGATTACCGCTAGTTGATTCATGCTATTTATATATTTAGTTAATTTTTGCTCATTATATTTTCTTCGTTTTTTTTTCTTATAGCATTTCGCTTATAATTTTTATTTATTTTCCTTCAGTTTTCTGCTGAAAGCATTTCGCTCGTTTTTTTTTTCTATATTGTTTATTACCGGGAGACTTTATTTACTTCACCGGATCTTTTTTTTTTTGAGCAATTTATATTAAGCAAATCAACTGTTCAATGTGGATCATCCATCATGTTCGCAAGTTCATATCACGTCCGGGTCACCAATGAGGGGAAATAATCTCAGACTATGCCAACCTTCATCTATCAAAAGGTTCCTCCTGATGGAATCAAGTTAACATGTCTTATATACTAGTGATTTGGCATTTTATATTTATAGTGGTAGTTACGCCACATTTGACTTGCAAACTTTTCTCTTAAATCCCTTCTCAATACACAACCGGATTTTCTGATTGGAAGCATATAGGAACTTGTTTAGAAAATCATGAAAATTCTAATGAACATAAGAAATCAATGTTAGTGTGGTTGGAACGAAAAGAAAATAGATCTGTTTTAGAAATGCAGCTTCAGAAGCAATTAAGAAAAGAAACAGAATATTATCACAATGTGCTAAAACGGGTTATTGCAGTGGTCAAATTTTTAAGTATAAGGGGCTTATCATTTAGAGGTTCGGAGGAAGTATTTGGTTCTCCACATAATGGTAATTTTATGGGTGCTCTGGAGCTATTGGCAGAGTTCGATCCATTCATTCGTGAACACATTGACCAACAAGAACTGCGACCAAAACCGATAATATCGTTCTTATCAAAAACAGTATATGAGTAAATAATTGAGATTATGGGCCGACAGATAATTAAACAAATTATAACTCAAATAAATAATGACGAAACAAAGCATTATTCAATTGTGATGGATTCTACTCCAGATCTATCTCACAATGATCAACTTGCTATTGTATTACGATACTGTTTTCGGGGAAAAGTGTATGAAAGATGTGTATCCTTCATTAAAATTAATAGTCATACTGGCTTACATTTATTTAATATTCTACAAGATTTTTTAGAAACAAATGGACCGAAATTGTTAACTTTTTTGAAGTAGTACAAAAAATATACGTATTCTTTTCTACTTCGACCCATAGGTGAGAACTGTTAAATCGTGAAACAAAACTCAAATTTACGTTAAAAAGTTTAAGCCAGGCCAGATGGTCTTGTCACTATGATGCTGTCAAAGCTTTGAAAAATAATTATGATGACATTATGAAAATTTTCGAAAGTTTCAGCGAAAATGAGGGTGAGAAAGTTGATTTCCGGAAAGAGGGATTTAATTTAGTTAATAAAAAAATACAGAGTCCTGGTTTAGATATTTGTGAAGGCAATAAGTTAATTATGCCATTAAAAGACTTCGTGAACAGCATAAGGCACCAATCAGATCAGAAGTTAAAGGAATACGAAGAGAAAGCAAAAAAATTAAGTACTATAGTGGGAATAGACATAAACAAGAGGCGACGCATTACTCCAAAATTTTCAGATAAGTCTACAGATAAAGTCTTAGTATACGGCGCAGAAAAATTTAAAAGAGAAACGCTAAACGTTCCGTTGAATAAGCTGATTATGGATTTAAATAAAAGGAGCCAAGTCTATGAGATGTATAGCAAGAAATTCAAATTTTTAATGGATTTGCAAGACAAAAATATGGGAAACTTAGATCTGGAAAGTTTACGTAATATTGTTGATTATAATCCAGATGACGTAGACGAGCATTTAGTGAATCAGTTAAAATCTTATTTACTTCAGTCTAAGACAGAGTTTTACACCTCTTGCAGCGAAATTTTTATTCGAATTTATGAAATGAAACTTGTTGATGTTTTCCCAAATTGCTGTACTACCTTAAAGATTTTTTTAACTTTGCCAATCAATAGCTGTGAAGCGGAGCGCTCTTTCTCCAGGATGTCTTATATAGAAAACAAATATAGGACAACAATGTCGAACCATCGTCTAAATCATTTATCAGTTCTTTCCATAAATTGTGATTTAAAAGGACTTACAATGTGATGAGCAAATAAAGGAAATTGCAGCACAAAAATGCAGAAAGGTTGCTTTATAATTTATATAACATAACTACACAAGACCT